GTATCAGTCACATGGAGGCAGGGCTTAAAAGCCTGAATTTTGCCTGAAACTCTCAGACTGAAGAAGTCTCTTGGAGAAGAGATGAAACGTTTCATTAGAGAAGAACCCGTCCAGAGGACCTATACAATTTTTTTCTTTTTTAACTATGGTAAACTTAGATTTATTTGCTTTAAACACAAACATACATCACACAACAAATTAAATGAATAAATAAAGTAAATATAATTAAATCAAATGACAAGGGTAAACAAAAGACCCTGTTCACAGTTTGTGCAAAGATTTAGAAGGTCCTCTCTTTTTGTTAAATATAAGTCTGATTTTACCTCATGAGGTCCTCGGCTGACAAACTCACTGTGTCAGAATGGAGGTCTGCAGGATAAGTAGGAGTAGTTTATTTTTCCTGAAATACTTCATTATAGTTTTTTAAGACAAAGCTAATTGAAAGGGGTGCTGATCAGAGTTACAACCAGGGATTACAAATAATAACTTTTCTTCTGCAGTTTGGCGCCCCCTCCAACAGATGGCGCTCTAGGCGACTGCCTAGTTTGCCTATGCCAAGAGCCAGCTCTGCAATGAACACATGGGGACTGATAGATTGCTTAGAGCAGGGGGTTCTCCTTTCGATCTTGGGGCCCTAAAGAGTGAAACAATTCCAGGGAACCTCTCCCCATGCTGTTTTTTAAAATTACCTTCATTTTAATCCTAAATGCCATTAGAATATGTTTTGCTTGGTTTAGTGTGTTTGTTTTACTAGTGCATTGTTCCCATATGCATTTTTTTTAAAAAAAATTGTCATTTCAACCCCTAAATGCCATGTGAATCTATATTTTTATTAAGTTCGTTTGTTTTATTAGTTCATTGTTCTCAATGCATTTTTAAAAATAAAAAAAAACAAAATAACATTTTAGTAAAAATTTTTGAGGACCCCCATGATACCTCTCGTGGACCCCTGGGGGTCCAGGGACCCCAGTTTGAGAACCTCTGCTCTAGAGGCCCCTTTTCATCCAATCACGTCAGCGAATCTCAAGTTTCGGGACCAATCAATTCTTCCCATTCCCTTGTTTCGTCCTTTTTATGTGCTGATTTTCTCTATAACTGAACTAGTAGAAAAATGTCGACTGTGACACTTTTTTCGCGTTACTACAGCCATATAACCTACATACTACGAATTAAACCATTTCAAAAGTTTAAAAAAAATATATTACATGCACATCCGACATCTTTGTGGTTTTCTTGTGTTATATTTAATTTTGTCATGCCGATGATTATTATGTCAAATTCATTGGCACATGAAATATAWTTTCTATAATTGGCAAATGAATCACGTGAGAAACGAGTCACACTTAAACACATAGGCTATATTACACATGATGATTTAAACACTTTATAGACGTGGCATATATTTTGTAACATGCTGTTTTGTGTAAAGTGCGCTGTAGATTTCACAACACGTTTTGCTGTAGATACAGCTTGGCATTTAGGCTACTTTTTGCAATCAGGAGAAACCATCATGACGGGGTAACAAATCTCTACACAACACCGGCAACCTTCGGCTCCATGACCTTTTTTGGACCCAAAGGTCGAACCTTGGTCTTTAACTGTAGAGATTGCTGACATCTGGACCAAAAAAATATACAATTAACAGAAAATTCAATTTAAGTCTTAATATAAACAAATGTTTGTTTGTTTGTTTTTTTTTATTGTCGCATGCACTTCTACATCCCATCCCAGTTCTTCTTCTCCTACTCATTTTTTTTTCTAACCATCGCAGCACTTCACACAGCTCCCTGGTGGTCTAGTGGTTAGGATTCGGCGCTCTCACCGCCGCGGCCCGGGTTCGATTCCCGGTCAGGGAATAAGTGTTTTCTTTGTTACATTAATTTAATGTARCTTTAACCTACCCCCCACAAACATACTAATTTGTTAGCTTTCAGATTATCAAATTCTACATGTATAAAAACGATCTCTAAACCCTTCAGATCAGGACGATAAGTTTCCTCTACTGCCACCTAAAGGCACGAATAAAAACAAGTTCAACACTGTTTTCCATAATAAACAACAAACTGCACACATTCTAATGTTTTTTATTGAAAATGGTGAATTTACAAAAACTATTTTCAATATGCATTGCTGATTTCAGAATATGGATTCACAGCACAAGTTTATTAAAATACACACATTGCATTACAATGTGTACCACTCAGTGTTGTATACTATAATTCACTTTCATAATAAAATAAAATGGTTTGCTCATAAATGAAATGCATCCTATTTGTCATTCAAGGTTGACACAGAAATACCAGTGGACAGAGCCACACAGGTGAAGGGGTAAAATAACATTACTTCATAATTCATTGCAGAGTGTTTAAAGGGATGGCTTCATCTCATGTATCTCCTTTCAAACCCGGAGGTGTCGTCATTACTTGACAGACTTCCAGTTACCTTGTCCTTTGAAAGCAGACGCAAGTCATCAATATTCAGACATGACTGAATAATCTGTTGCTTTTTCTTTGCCAGCTTCACAGACAAACTCACCTTCACATTTCCCACAATTTCTTCAATAGACCTGAATGTGGAGGAATGTCTGCAGAGACAAAAAAGGCTAATTCAAACATAAATGCAGTAGTAAAGACATTAAACCATGTGATATCTACCATAAGTTATTTATGTTTTACCTCATGGTTGGCACACTTATACTGTGACTCAGGTTGCTGGGTGGGAAACAAAAAAAAAAAGAGAAATTAAAATTGAATCAGTCTTTGACATTTATTTTACAAATGTCCACAACTAACAAGCATGGCATATTCGTAAATGTCTATCAAAAAAAGTAAGCGCTGTTGTATTAAAATTAGTTATATTTTTCTTATACAATTGCTTTGGAACTAAAACTGCAACTGAAATATCAAATAAAAACACTTGAATTGTTTTTTTAAACTTACTTCCTAGTTTTTATATACTACCCCTTCTTTATTTGTGTTATTTGTTGGTTTTGTTGTGCTGCAGTAATCTTACCGTGTTGGACTTGGAAGAGGCAGGGCTCTGTTGAGTTTGCAGCATAAAGAAAAAGACAGATGCACAAACAACGTCATACCAGCTCCAGTTTCCACAAGGCTGACAACAACAAGAAGCTTATCCGCTGCTGCTGCTGCTGCTGTCCTGGAGCACTGCTGAGACTGGATTACACTTGGTCAGTGCTTAAAAACAGATAAAGTGAAGCTCTAACTAAAGTAAAGTTAAAATGAGGTTACATCAGTACTGATTAATGGACATTACATTATTATTGTAAATATGCATCAGCTTATWGTTTATTACCATCTACACAGTATAAGAATAAACTTAAATAAGTTACACTGTTTATAAAAGAACTAGTCTGAAACATTCAAATAAGATCACTGTCATGAAAGAACATTGATAGATTAATTGTGACAAAGGGAAAAATATGTGGTAACATGGCTAAAAACATAAGCTTTTCTCATTCTGACACAACAATCCTCTCTATAAGTTCATCTGCAGTACAAGAATTGAAAATAAGATTGATTAATTGTAGGTTAAGTGYGTGTAAAACATCTTCTTCACCCTTTAAGTGATTCATGTTTCAGTWTTTATTTTAAATCCTATCAAAATGACCAGGTAATCTAACTTATAAATAATGTTTTATGGGATCAGTCTGAAAAAATACTGTGATGGGATGAAGTTGAGTCAGCTGTGTGTGTACCTCATGTGTGCCAGTCTCCTGGTGATGACCTCCCCCACGCTGGACAGCGCAGCAGACGTCACCTGGCCTGCATGAGAAAGACTCTCCCGTGTTCTCACATATCTGCGGGGGAACAAAGAAAAATGTATCTGACCAAAGGGAAGTGCCAGCGTTGCAGTTTATTACATAACAAGTGAGTGCATAAAGACAAATATACATCCTGACACACAGCTGACAACAGGCTTATATACGTCAGCGTCCACTGTCCATCTGGATGCAGAAGAGTAAAAACAAACTCATCAGGCTGGTCATGGTGGGGCCTGGCATCATCACCGCTCCTCGTGCTAAGTCAGGCTGTGCTGCTATTAACAGGGCACCAATCCTATTTGACCTGGACAATCCCATCACCGCTTTCTTAGAAGGGATCCCGATGAAACAAGTGTTGCGGAAACTGATTTTATGGTTGGAATCTGATGGGAGAGACTCACGCGTCAGAGTGGCTGATGTCCTCCAGAGTGGCAGAGGCTGTGAGATATCTGAAATAACACAACACAAATCTTAAAATATCAAATTTTATTATTTTTAGTGGCAAAAAGTCATACACTGAAAATAAAAAAAATGTTTAGAAATTGCTATTGACGGTATAAAGATACCACAAGTATCATCGGCATCATTTCTTGGAGTTATTGTTGATGAGAATTTAAGGTGAAAAGATCATATTGATAGGATTTGTAGCAAATTGCATAAATCTGTTGGCATAATTAGGAGGGTTAGTCATTACATCAATACAGAATGTTTGCTTACACTTTATTATAGTTTGATATACCCATATTCATGTTATTGTAAATAGAGTTTGGGGAAGTACTTTCCTCTCAGCACTACAGAAAATTTTTATTCTTCAAAAAGGCTTTGTTAGAATTGCAGCTCGATTAGACCCTTGTTGTCCTTCTACCCATTTGTTTAGAGATCTACAGATTCTTACAGTTTATTACATAAACATTTTTCAAATTTGTGTTTTTATTTATAAGATTTCTGAAAGAGAACAGAGTATGCCAATGCATTTTATTCATTATTTTAAACTAAATTTGCAATTTCATTCTTACTTAACTTGTCAATGCTCAGCACTTCACCTTCCTGAATGTCAGAGCAGAAGAGGTCAGTTTTCTGTCCGATACAGGGGAGCAATACTTTGGAATGAATATTCTCAKTTAGCAAAAAGCAGGCCCTCTGTTAAACAATTTAAACACTCTCTCTTGTACTTAATTAAAATGTTGTGATTGTGATTTTTTTCTTTTAAATGCCTTAATTGATTTAAGTAATTGATGGATTTCATTGTTGGTTCAATGTATTTTTATTTTTCYGGTGGAGGCTTCATTTAAACCTATTGGGCTTTTTGCCTCTCCCTGCACTGTAATTACTTTTTTTGTCTTTCAACTGATTTATATATTTTTATTGTGCAAATAAACTAAACTAAACTAAACTAAAAAAATTGAGACAGAGGCTGAGAATGTTTCCAGTGCTCCTTTTGGGATTATGTAACCATGTCACATTTAGACAATACATGGAAAATGTATCAGTGCAGTAATTTATGATTATACAAATTTGGATGCATTCAGCAGACCTTCCATGTTTGTGTCTCATGAAGTCTGAGTGCACTCACGGGGCTGAGGTCTGGACTTCCTGCCAGCCTTTGCACAGGTTCTGTTTGACGTTGCTGAGAGGGCTCAGTCCCAGCTGCCTCCTGATGTCTGCTGCGTATTTTTCTTTGGCCAAAAGAACCTGCCTCAAGGTCTGAATCTCATCTTCTGTCTATTTGAAATAAAAAAAAAAACAGTGACAAAGATTTCAAGCTGCCGCAGGATCACAGTGGGCCGCATGCAAGAACATTTTTGTATTCCTATCCTAAATTTCTCTCACTTTTGTTGGTACGAACGTCAGTCAGATTCAACAAACTCTTCTGAAAGTGTGTAAATGAGCAGCGTAAACTGATGAATGCGTATCAGCTGCTCGTACACGAGGAGAGGAGATTAGCATAATTACCACCCCAAAAACACCAAATAAGGCTATGTTTCCTGCTCCAGCTACCAGGAAGTGTCCATTCATGAAGGACATCGCAAAGTAAAAAAGAAGAACTTTACGAGTTTGCAGATTGAAGTCCTGTTCTCAGAGATCCAGAAATGAAAATCTGCCATTTTTAGCAGCGTCAGCTGTGGAATTAAAGGAGCTGCTAAAGCTGATGAGGAACGAAAGGACGTCTTCTGTTACTGTCGTGTCTTCTGTGGGTCGTCTACAGTCACAGAAATACAAATTTAAATCATATTCATCTCTCTCTAGTCCTGCTCAGGTTTTCCTTTGGTCAAATATTTTTAATTTAAGTGTAAACAACTGTGTTACATAAGATGAGCAGTCGCGCACCTCTCCCCACCACCCACCCCGCTGTCGCAGTGTCAGATGTGGTTCTGAAAAAAAGGCTTTTTAAAATGTCTCCAAACTTCAATTAATGCATAATTTAAGTTCAAACAGAATAGCCTATTGTCAACATAATTCTGTAGTGTAATTTATTTTCAACTCTAAATATCTTCAAACTAATGAAATATAAAGTTATTAGTGAAGAAAATTCATCTGGATAACAGCAGACTGACTGCTGGTAAAATATACGACAGGTCTGGACCACTCGTGAATTTTTTTTTCTTATCTGAAGAAAATCTTAGAATAAGAGAAAATTGGTGAATGCCACAAGTTCTCCTAAATCACTCAAACGCACAACTTAAGAACAAATCTTTTCGTACGAATGATTCTTGCATGAGGCCCAATGTGTTGAACAACCTGAGAAGAAGTACCTTTGCAAGTTCAAAACGCAGACTGTCCCCATCGTTGTCTCTCAGGTTTGTGTGTGAACATCCGTTGCCTGTGGAGAAGTTCACAGATGAAGTCCCACCAAAACCTTAAAGACAGAGACAGGAAAACAAGCAAAAATTAATCAAGATTAGGACAAGAATATAACAAGGGAAAATGAGATTATACCGTAATCAGATGAGATTACACTGCGTCAGTGCATGAGAATGACACCTGAAATCTATTCTTAAAGGATGAAGAACCTTCCAATTTATCAACAGATTAGCAGCATTGAGAGATTAAAAAGCACAGCTGTAAATTTAATGTAATTTATCTAAACGAGTCTTGTTTAAATATCATTCAAATACTTCTAAAACTAAAAAYCCCGAAATTTATTTAAGTTTTAATAGCTTTTTACTCTTTACTTCAGGAATATTTTGGGATTTTCTCTATAAATGGACAAATATCTAAGTATAAATATCTAAAAAACTGATGTAAAACATGTGGAGTAATTAAAACATTTAGTCGTTATGTCCTAATAAATGACATATTGTGCATTTTTTGTTAGCTAGTTAGTTTAATCACGTGTAAAGCCTCACCAGAGCTGTCCTCGGTGCTGAAGTCCTCCAAGCTAACAGGCTAACGGCTAACCTGTTGCGCRCGATGCTAACGATTAGCACAAAATAAAACATGCTAACAGTCGAGCGCTGTGGGGGRAAAGCGTTTATAAAAACCCACGGTGCTGCGCAGCACAGACAGCGGGAGTTGGTCTTACCTTGTCGGCTCATTGCTGCACTTTCACCTGGTGTGTTGTGAGGAGCTATCCGCTGCCTGTCGTCTCCATCCAGTCAGCTGAGCTCAGAGACGAGCGGTCAGATCACCGAGCCTATTAATGGGTTTTCTCTCCCACACAAACAGGATAATCTCAGAGGAGAGGACAGCGGAGGGAGAAAAATGCACATGTTAGTGCACATGTTGTGAAAAGGCTCAAGGCAAGTGTGGGGAATATGCTTTAAAGTTAGGATTTTCTTTTAGCTAAAAGCAAAAAAATATTTTGAGACCAATTTTGGTTCAGAACAGCATCAGTCCAGTTGCTTTGGGTATTCTTACTGAAAATGGGAATTTTGTAGGATTAGCTATATTCAGGTGTTTGATTTATTTTATTTTTTGTCTGTTCCGTTATCACCCTCCTGTCTGCATCCTCTGTCCTCAACTACCTCATGTCCTCTAACTGCATCCATTTATCTGATCTTTGTCTTTGTCCTGTCAGCTGCATTTCTACCAACATATTCACTGTTCTCCAACCTGTACTGTACCTCTGATGATCCCATYCTAATCTTAAATACATCAAACAGATGCTAAAGTTCATAACTTTTTAGTAAATTAAAATCACCAAAAAGCTCAGGAGTAGATGAGGAGCAGACACATCCCTTTATGCTGACAGGTCAAAGACCAACACAACAACAACACACCATAGTTGCACTGACAAAGGTTTTATACAAGTGATGTTTCTTCTATAGTTTTATTGTGTGTTTCTGTATTGATGGCTCTACAGCAGACTGAGGTTAAACGTGCTGTTTAAGGGTTTTGGAAGAAGCTTTAAGATGATGACAGAGATACACTTATTTCTAGGCTGGTCAGTGGTTAAATGTGCTCCTAGAATGAAGACTTGTCACCATCTGGTGGTTAAACATGCAGACACACTCTGAGCTCCATCCTGTTAGCGCTGGGTTTATTTAGTGATTTCTCTGCAAACGTCACAAATAGATGTTACACTGGGGAAAACATCTGTTTCATCATTTCAACAATAAGATGTACTTGTTTAATTTGAGCAGGGYGTGTTGTAAAATGTTTAACAGATCTATTTTTATTGGACGTTTTATTTTGACATCTGTCTCGCAGCTTTGGTTTGAATCTGAGCCTTTTTGTGTGAATCTGGTTTGTTCTCCCCATGCCTGTGTGGGTTTTTTCCAAGTGCTTTGCTTTCCTCCCACAGCTTCAAAACGTGTTCAGTTAAACGAACATGTTAAATGAATCTGAGTGTGTTTGTGTGCCTCTGTGTTGACCCTGTGATGGACCGGAGACATCAACACGTCCAGCATGGAACTCTCTCCTGCTGTCTGTCTGCTAGAGAGGCTGATCAGGATGAAGGGAGTCTCTAAAATGAGCTAGTAAGGTTTTATAAATAATACTTTAAAAACATGTATTTGACATGCATTTGAGAACTGTGTTCTTCCCTTCATAAGTACTGCAACACAAATAACTGCAAAAATGTTTCAGTCAAAGAGAAACCAACTAATTTGATCATTTCTTTTGTCAGAAATAAATACTTCAAAACATTTTTGAATTCTTAGACTTAAAGATCATTTGTTTGAATYRTCTAAAWAYTTAATATTTATTGAATAATTTGCTTTTTTGRGCAGTTTGACAGAAGATTCATTGAGAGGTTTAATGGGCCTTTGATAACTAACAAATATTTTTCACTAATTTAATGAAATTTTGACCTGATATAAACCATCAATGATTTTATTTTATTTAACTATAATAACTAAACCACAGCCTGACACAATGTTTACTTTTTTGAGACTGTGTCTTAATGGATGAGACTAGAAATATAACATCAAATTCCAACAGCAATAAATCAAGGGAGCACCCTATTCCCAATCAAGCAACACATTTTAATGTATAAACGGTTTTTAAAACGCTGCAGAAGGATAGATGCACAAAAATGATTGGTAAAAATARCAATTGAACAGAAATGAGGGCGATTTATTGTTTATGCATTGGCAGCCTTATTCTGACAAAACTTTAGTGTACACAATCAAGAAATTTCTTTTGCATCAAAATATATGAGTATTTTAAGGAATGATACACTACCTGGCCAAAAAACAAAACAAAACAAAACAAAAAAACAAATTGCAACCAAAAAAAGAGTCACACACTCTAATGTCGTTGGACTGCCTTTAACTTTGACTATGACACGCATTTGCAGTGGCATTGTTTGGATAAGCTTTCTAGACCTGACCAGCTGCAGCAACTCCAGATCACAGCACTGCCCCCACAGGCTGTACAGTAGACACTGGGCATGATGGGGGCGTCTTTGAAGACGATGGGTCCCCACTATCCACCCACTTTTTAACAATGCGTTGGACAGGTCTTAACCTAATTTCAGTAGTTTCTGCAATCTCCTCAGATGTTTTCTCTGCTTAATGCCAATGATTTGACCCTTCTCAAACAGACTGACATCTTCTCCACGACCACAGGTTGTGTCTTTCCACATGGTTGCTTAAGAAACGAGAAGCAACTCATTGCAAGGGATCCATGATTAGTTGTAACATTAGACTTTATTTGATAAACATATATTTTAACTGTAAAATAGACTGTAAAAAACAGTAGGATGTTCAGTTTTTATGATTTTTAAACTAAAAGTTTAATGTGACGGCCTCTTTGTTTTGGTATTACACGGACAGAGCCATTTTATTTCCACACAAAGCATTCTGGGTAAATGATGACATGGATAGGTCCTCGGTGCGAGGC